CCCCACCCAAATACCATGCCCTCCCTCCCCGTTTCAGTGGCTGCCGAAAAGCAAGCAGCAAAACAGAGGCTGACACCTGGGTTATGGCCCTCTTTATGTTTGGTGAGCATAACCATTTGTAGCAGATACACTGCATCTGTGGGGCTGAATTCAAAGAATCAGAATGCAAAGTTCCTGAGAAAGGAAAACCATCAGTATTCTTAATATGACAGGAAGATTTACATTTTCAGGATGATGATGTTGCTTTACTGAGTATAGTAGAGGTGGTTTTCATATTAAGAGAGGGGGAGCCTAATATTGATGGAAAGCTATTGATGGAAAGCTCAGAGTCCTCAGCTTCCCTGAACCCATATGCTGCTCCTCAGTTAAGTAAATCTATAATTTTGCTCTTAATAAAGGATTCAGGAAGATCTCTTCTATATTTTCTCTTTATTTGAGGAAAGGAGAACCCAACAGCAGTCATCCCAATGACAACTTCAGAAAACAGAAGGAAAACATAGGATACCTCTGCCCATTTCCCAATAGGCTGCCACATTGCTTGTTACAGGTACTAAATGTGCTTGCTTTTAAAATGCAGTGGACACCGCCCTCTTACTGGCTAAAACGTACTGGCACTTGAGCTAGAGGCAAGGACAAGAGTTCTCTCGCGCTTTTTAGGTCAACTCAGTTTAAAAATATTTCATTGACATAGCAACTAATAGATGGAAAGAAGGGAGAAAGCTTTGCAGAATGTGGCTGAAAAGGTGGTACTTTTATTTACTTTATTGGGGTTGTATTCCAGTCATCACCAACTCTGAGGAGCTCATAACGCAGAATCTTGACGCTTCTGAGTTCAACTTCCAAGAAAGAAGCAGTGGTGAAATTCACATTTTTTTTACTACTGGTTCTATGGGCATGACTTGGTGGGCGTAGTAGTGTAGGGTACTCCAAAATCCCCATTTGCTCCCCACCCCTGGGGGAAGGATATTGCAAAATCTCCATTCCTACCTCACTATGGGGTGGTATTTGCCAGTTGTCCAAACTACTCAAAATTTCCGCCACCGGTTCTCCAGAACGTGTCGAATTTCACCCTTGGAAAGAAGGTACGGATGGATAAATTTATAGAACTGCGATAGTTCAATTCTATTCCGTTGAACTATAATGCAGAACTAAGCAGTGAATAATGAGCACACTTTGGAGATCAGCGTAGAGCTCTTGGGCTATTCTGTTATTCACAAGATACCAAGGCAGAATCAGTATCTTTTACTTCAAAAAGAAGAATTAATACACACTTGCATCTAGACCAAGACAGAAGGAGAATTCAGCCATTCTTCTCTCTGGAAAGGAAAACGATTGTTTTAAATCCAAGCCCTGGAAAGCTATGGGACCAAGGCAAGAAACAGAAGCCTCTGGAAAAAAGTTGCAGACAACTATGCAGATCCAGGGTAGCTTCAGAAACTCTGTTTTCAAGCAATAAATGTTCTACTTTAGAATCTGTCCTGAGATTTTAAGCTTTAATTTGACTGTAAGTGATTGTGTCTGTTTTACTGACAGCGGATTGTCTTTTTTTAAAACCCATGAACTCCTAGTGTTTGGGTGAGCTTAAATCTTTTAGATTTTCTGGGCAATAGATTCTTATGTTCTGCTCAGAATAATTAATGTTTTCTCCTGGAGGACAATATCTTCTGGAGACATTCTCTCTACTTTAGCAACTCTGTAGTCCAGCAACTTTTACCACCAAACATTTAACATGTGATTTGATTCCTTAAAGTTCCAAAAGAAGTTCCATGTCTTTTTTCGGTCTGTTTCCTTTTTAATAAGGCTTATGTTTGTGTCCTTTATCTAGCTCAAACTTCCCTAATTGTGCACTGTAAAATTACAGAGCCAGGAGTTGGTATAAAAATTGCTGTTGTAGTTTCTCCCTTATGTGCTAATGAGACCGCACCCTCTCCCATTCATGCCAAGCAATTACTGCCTAACTGCACCAGGCAGAAAGGCTGAGCCAAGTGGAATGTGTGTGAGCAATTTCAGAGGTCTTTTGGGACAATAGGAGATGGAAAACCTTCAACTTTATTTTACAATATTAAATCTTTTGTTATCCTTGTAGTGGGAAAACATACTTTTTCTGATTTCATGTCTGGTACATTAAAGTTTTAGTTATTTACATGTCATTAAAAACTAAGGAGTAAAAGTATTTATTATCCAGTAAAAGTAGTTGGGAGAGGATGAATTATCCCAATTATTTTGCTCACCTTTCTCTCTAAGATTCAGTTCTTAAAACAGGATGGGTAAGAGGAAAGACGATAACATTATAGCTATATTTATAAGATTTTTTGTTAAGCTACAATTTTGTATATTTGTGAAATGGAAAATCAGCTTGGATAGAATTCAGTATTGTAGGATTCTTACCCTGGTGAAAGTAGGGACTTGAATGGTTCAGATGATTATTATTTTTTTGAAAATATTAATTGTAATCTGCAAAATATTCATCAGCTGTTTCTTCTGTCATAGACTGCTGATATTTACTGATTTTCTGATTCATTAGATAGATATAACGGCTAGGATAGTTTTAGAAAATTGAAATGCTATTGAGAATTAGATTTAGACTCTAGGCATACATTTTAAAGAAACTACACTCATTGCCAATATATTTTTATTCCAAGTTTAAGACATTAGCAATGATATTGAACTGGCTCCATAATTTGTCTAATTCCCTTTATCAGCTTGTCTGTTATTAAGATATTCTTTAGGGATGCTCCTTTGCATCTTACTATTGGATATTTCACATTGTATGTAAAGGGCTTTTTTGGCTGTGGTAACTCAACTGTGGGAAACTGTTCCTCCAGCAAGCAATGTAGCACTGCCCCTTACTTCCATTTCTTAGCAAAGAAAACTTGTAGCTAGTTAGCCAACCATTCAGTTTTTTGTAACTGCAGCTCAGTTTATATATACTATACATACTATATACAAACATATACTATACATACATACATACATACATACATACATACATACATACATATAAGATTTTACAACCCCCGGTATGCCCAAATAT